GGGGGCGGGGGGGGCCGACCGTCGAGTCGGGGGATGCAAAAGTGGGGTGGGGAAGCCATTGGCGGGGGGCCAGACAGGGCAGCAATTCAGGGGGCTGGGGGAGCAAGCAGGGGTAGGGCATGTGGGCCCTGCAAGGTGGCCGGGTGGAAAACATAGGTATTTAGAATTCATTTTATTATGATGATAGAGGCACTGGTAGGCTTCCAAGTTGCTTTAACACTGTAGATATATCAATAAAACATTGCCCAACTGATTGCTCTCTCTCTATGTCTCATTCTGTCTCTCTATATAGTGGTCTTTTGTTTTAATTGAGGAGGAACATGGATTTTGGGTTATTTTACAGAGTGACTTTGGGATTTTTTTTATCAGGGATTTTTCAGTTTTCAAATGGGGGACACCAGAATTCCTGCTAGGGAGGCAAGTGGCAGGACCCAAGCAGAGGAGCCTTCTCAGAGATGGCACCTTGGAACCAGTTGGGACTGGGAGGATATGCTTCAACAGTTCAAAGCAAGCCACCACACTGGAAACATCTACCGGGCAATAGCTGCCCAGATGGCTGGGCAGGGGCACACATGGCAGTAGTGTTGCACAAAGGCCAACCCTGCACCCACAGCCCACTGGCAGCTGGCCCAGAGGGGCAGATGCATCTACTGGCTGTGCAGTCCCTGTCCAGGTCTGGAAGGGCGCAGCAGGTCACAGCCAGGCAGCAGCCCCCACTGCCAGACTGCTGCAGTGAGTAAAGTGTGCAGGGAACTATCTGGGCTGCTTCAGCAGTCCAGTTGGCACAAGGGGTCATGTCCCCAGGTACCAATTGGCTGGGCCTCGGAAGCTCCTGAGAGCGACTAGCCCTAAGCTACTTGACAGGGCAGCTTTTTTATACTGCTGGGAACAGTACAGGTGCTGGCTCCAGGCTCTAGCTCCCCCTGGCTGCAGATCCAGGAGGAGGCAAGCAGGGTTATTTTGCACCAAGTGGCACAATTTGCCCCACACCAAAGTGCGTGTCTGTGCACGTGTGCTGAGGCAAAAAGTTGTTGCTCAAATTTGCACTGCTTTTATTTGAGCTGCTGCAAGCGCATGTGCTTGCATGTGTGGATGTGCCCTATGAGTACATCAGCTATACTACATTCGATAAACTTACTATCATATGAGAAAACATGGTTTGCAGGGCAGGGCTGTGTTCCTGGCTTAGAGAGAACATTGCATCCATCTGTCTTTGGTGAAATCATATAAGCTTTCCAGTTTACATAAAATGTCCAGCATTATTATACGATACTGTACTATACTATATTATATTATCATGTCACACATCATGTCACACATCATAAATATATATTTACTTATATATTCAGATGAGAAGCCTGCATGATTTCACTAAAAAATTTCTGGTTGAAATTCTAGCCCCAGTGCCCATAGCTAGGTTCCTAATACTTTCCAGTGTAACTGTTTTCAGTTACTAGTATCTATTTGGGATGAGTTTTTCCTTACTTGATTTCTGTCTGACACTGAATTTTTGTCAAAGTTTGTGCAAACACCGTACATTATGTGAGAGAAGCTGGTTTAAGTTTATCTCTGGGACTAGTTTGCCAGTGCTAAAAAGAAGTCCTTTTCTTAGTCACTAAACTCAGGGATTTCAGTAGTTGAAATTTGTCAGGGGATTAGACGTAATGCCAAAGAATGTCTTTGTTGTTCCTATCAATCTCTATTCAGAGTGGCTGTATCACATCACTTCCGCCTCCCCCTCCCCCTGCCCCCTCTATCTGTCGAGAGAGTGCACATACTGCTTATGTGCTTAGTATACTGATTCTCAACCAGGCATCCTTTGAGGGGTGCTGTGGCGTCCAGCCTTTGGGAGTAAGAACAGGTCAGTGCTGGCTCCTCCATACTCTGGGCACCCCGTCCCTGTCTCTGTCATAGCTGCACTCTTCCACCAGCTCCAGGAGCATGGGAGCAAGCTGTGTTGAAAATGGCAGACCACCCCTATGTGTAATACATGATAAACGACACACAAAAACAGCCGTGTGTCTTCCCA